AAACGGTAGAAAGACAGACATGGCTCAGTGGAGTGGTTCGGATTCTGGAATTTTAAGAAAAAATATACGTCCGGAAAACCATGAAGAACTCCTCGTATTTGGATATTCCTGTAAACTCTTCAGAGATGATGAAAAGGCTCTATACATTGATCAAGGCAAGCACCTTATTCCTTGGATGGGCGATGAGACGTTGAAGATCGACAGGTTAGCTTTGCCTGCTGTGCTGATATATTGTTAACTTTCATTTAAGTTCTTTATTTTTCTTCTAGGTATGATTGTAGAGGTGCTCTGTCAGATCTGACGAAATACGAGGCTAGCAGGGAAGGTTTTGATGCCATGCGTTGGCTAGGTTTAAGTGATAAGGAGAGACAACTTGAAGAACTTTGTGATAAAGAGCGATATTATTCCCTGGAGATTAATGAAGAGGAGGAAGAGATGTATAAAGGTTCATTGTAAGCTTGTTAATTGCGACAATTTTTATATTACGTTTTATTTTTAGAAGAGGAACAGAAACGCCAAAAAACTAACACTTTCCAGTATAGTTATGACGTACCAATGGATCCGGACAAGAAAGAAGAAGGACCAATAGGACCAGAAGCCAATGAGGAAGAGGAATACATACCACCACCAATTTTAGATGTACCTGTTGACATAGATATTGTTAGTAGAATTTGTTTGAAGATCAATGAAGTTTTTAAAACATCCCTTTGTTTTTAGCCAAAGACTGTTAAAGAGAATGCGAGGATAGAGAAAACTGCCAAGTTCGTGTGTAAGCAAGGCCCCCAGATGGAGATACTTATAAAGGCGAAACAAGGGAACAATCCTCAATTTAGTTTTCTAAATCAGGGAGATAAACTGTATAAATTCTATCGACACGTTTTGGCTGCCTTCAAGAATGGGCGATATCAGGGATATGAATCGATACTTGAGAATAAAAGTGGTGAGTTAATTTTTATTAACATTTCTATAAACTTTTTTGTACACTTTTTATTAGAAAATTTTATTGTTGTAACCAAAATATTTCTTTTTGTTATCAAGAATGCTGTATAAAATCTTACTATATTTAATAAATCATGCAAAATATTTTTTAAAAACACTCAAAAATTTTGTATTATTCAGCGTTTTGTCCACATTTGTATAAAACATGAATGCAGTTGGTTTAAAAATGTAGTCAACACCGTTAAGCATGCATATAAAAATACAAATGCAGAGTGCCGTAGGTGCGCGATAGCAGCGTAGACGAGTTTGAGTGCAACTTAAAGAATAAATTGTAAGTTTACTATTTATTTGATTAAAAAAAAAAAAATAGATTAGTGCTCCAAAAAAATTGACCCTCAGAGTTACATAACATAACCAAATAAAAATTACCAGTACTTTAAGTGATATATTGTCTAGATATGTAAAATATTGGGATAAAAAAAAATCGACGAGATTGCAAACAAAAAATTATTTATTCCAGTTGTCTGGTAGGTACATGGCATACTGGGAGTTTATAGGGGAGGTCAAAATAACCTAATTTATCATAAAAAAAATTCCTAAAGTGCCCCTTAATGGAGATACAGAGCCCCAAAGGGGTACCTTTTCGGCTCTAACTTTTGAACTGACATGAAATTAATGAAATTTTAATATTTGCTGTAGACCATAAAGGCTCATAAAACCATACTACGGTAGATGTTTTACACTGTCAGAGAAGTCGGGAACAGACTTGCCACCACACTCGTTGGGCCAAAATTTTGACAGGTGTCATTTTATATAACTGAAAACTGAAGTTTTAAATTCATTGGTCATTCCTCTTTAAAAAAGGTACTTAGTTTTTGTATAACACTTTTAAACATTGACTCAAAATTTATTTAATTATCAAGTTTATTAACATAAGCTATTTAATCTCAATAACTAATCGAATAATATCATAACTAATAATTCGTATTAAAATATTAAAATTTGTCATTATTATTACATCTCGTTAATGCATCTAGCTTATGGACAAGTACTTGGCAATTGTGTGGTGGCAAGAAGAATTTATTCTGATAAATTGCCAAGTCACTTAAACGCAAGAATGTTAAAAATTCAAAAGCTTTTCTTCTTCTTATTTACTTGAGCAGATATTCGAAATAGGCACCATGTACCTCTATACATTTCCTTATCCGACGTATACTTTTTCGTACTTGAAACGACATTCCAGGATTGTCTGTTCGTTGCAATGGTGTGTTATTGTTTCTATGAGGTCTTCTCTGGTATGAACTGGCATCGAATACACATGCAATTATTTGCAATAATTTGCTAAAATGAGGTGGTGAGGTCATGCATAAACCACATCTGATTTTTAATTTCTAAGGGCACATTTTTCTAATAACCCATTTAAGGTTTGTTGCAAGAATTGCAAATACATGACGCTATTTAATCTTCTACAGAAAAGAACGGTACAATGAGATGATTCCCAATAATCCCCGCCCATATGTTAACCATGAATCTTTGTTGGTAGGGTACGTTTTTTAGGTATGACCAAAGTATTTAAAAATTTGGTTTTCAACTCTATAAAATGACACCTCTCAAAATTTTGGCCCAACGTGTGTGGTGGCAAGTCCATTTCTGACTTCCCTGACAGTGTAAAACATCTGCTGTATATACATGTCGGTTCAAAAGTTAGAACTGTAAAGGTGAATCGCTGGTACACCTTTGGGGCTCTGTATCTCCATTAAGAGACACTTTAGGAGTTTTTTTTTATGACTCCCTTATACACTCCCAAGAGTGTGCCATAAACTTACCAGACACCCTGTATATGTTTATTCCGGAATAAAAGTATTTCATCTTGTATCTATAGGTTTGTCTGTGCATGAGTGTCAAACTGTTTTCAAACTGTCAAATATACTCGACCATTTAAGTTGTTACATAATTGTGTATAAGTGTATATATTCACGAATTGATTGGCCAAATATGTCTGATAGTTTCAAATCAATCCTCAACTGCTACAGAAACAGACCTTATATTTCATGTTATTTTTATTTATCTCGCTAGTATTTTATTTTATTTGGGGTATTACGTCAAGATCCTGATTATTGAGTCATATTCCAGGTTATTCCAATTCGTTTCCAGGTATTTCAATCAAAATGTGTACTGATTTCGGCTAGTGAATTACCCCCAGAATTATCCAATTGCATGGTTGATATGCTTACATTATAAGCTAACAATAATTAAATAAACAAAAAAAGTATAAAGACAAAAAACAACAAAAATAACGGATGAAAAATAAAAAAAAAATAAAAAAATTATACTAAACAAAAAAAATCAGCATGTCACTACCTCCACGGCGGTTAATCTTGGATAACGTGAAGTGTGAGCAAAGACGTAGAATAACGTTTTTTTATAACAGTAACAGGGGTCAAAAAACAGTCGTAGATTTTGGATAAGTAGATTTATCATTGATATACAAAACAAAAAGGCTTTTCACCTGCTTGAAGTGTGATTTTGGCACGTTTGAGTGGTTGGAGAGGATCGGGGTAATGTGATAATATGTTTGTGGGGTCTATCATCCTCAGAAACGGGAATGAATGAAAACCGGTCGGTGGAACAGATCAGAAATGCGTGTAACCCCTTTTGGGGTTGGTTCTTGGGTGCAGAGAGTCCCTCTTCGAGGCAGTTTTTGGCCACTTTGGAGGGAGAGGTTAAGGATGCCGGTGGCATGACAGTATGTTCGTGGACTTTATCTTTCTGGGTGACATTGCTATCCACATTGCATTTTTATTCCGTCTACACACATGTCAGAAATGCTAAAAAGAGAAGTAAAAATTACCAAAAACAGAGAAACAAACTATCTGCCTGGGTTTTTATAATCGGAAAACTTTGTTCCAGAGGCCAAAAATAACTCGTATCCACAGTAATTTTCAATTTTGATCAAAATCACTAATAAACTCGCCAAAAAAATTAAAACGTTTTTTTAGTTAACTTTAAAAGGCTGTAATTTTGTGAATAATGGTTGTATCGAGAAAAAAAAAAGAAGCATTTTAAAGCTTGAAGATTCTAGTTTTGAAATTTTGAGATGAAAATTTTTTTTCAGCATCACTCGGTGCAATCAAAAGAAATAATGTAAGGCAAAGATTTATTTTTTTTTCAAAACTGCATATGCGCTCAGAAGATTTTTTTCTGGCTTAATCAATGCCAGGGTCGCTTAGCCTGATTCATCAGCTTCAATTTGTTTTTTTTTATTTTCTGTAAGATTATTTTTCATTAAGATATCAGCTACATTTTTTTTTTTTTTTTGATCATCGATATCTTATGAACTAATGATCGTAAAGTGAATGGAAGGTGGGTTTTAGAAATCTGAATCAATCCTCTTTAAGGGCCTTTCGCTATGTTTGAGAAAAAAATTATTTTGCCTTAAATTATTTCTTTTGATTGCGCCGAGAGTGATGCTCAAAAAAAATATTCGTCTCAACATTTCAAGACTAAAATCTTCAAGCTTAAAGATGCTTCTTTTTTTTTCGATACAACCATTATTCACAAAGTTACAGCCTTTCAAAAATCACTAAAAAAATTTGAAATTTTTTTTGCTGACAATGAGAGTATAATTAGTTCGTAGTCCTTTGTATTTTTACTTTTTTTTATTTCAACTTAGTCACCCTATATAAATATATATTTGATTTTAAACATTTTTCAAATTATGCACCGTCGTTGTCAAACTTATGACTATGAATACCTGTACGTATCCATAATAACATTGTTACAGAAAACTTCTTATTTGATTAACTCCTCTTTGCGTCGATTGAGATATTACATTTCAATCAACAGACATGATATTTTAGTTGAATTTCTAGTAACAGATAGTGCAATTAAAACAGTCTAGCACAGGCGTCAACAAGAATTTTAGGTGGGGTCAGGATACTTGTGAAAATATTTAATGAGGTCAAGAAAAAAGCTCAATTCCTTACTAATTTTTTATTTTAATTTGCACTCACAAAATAATATAATAATATTAAATACAATAGATATTTATATTAAAAAATCAATGAGAAAAATTACATTTGCGGTCTTAAGCCAGTTTTTCAAAGTTAGGTCCACGTGGGAAGCGGCTTGTTTCCTTCCCCGCTCTCCAGCACACTCTAATGCGCTACACAACATAGCAACTATGTTATGTAGCGCATCTACATAACATTAAGCATTAGAAACATTAAGAACTCATATCAGTCACGCAATTGCAACTACTAGAAAATATGATAGAGGTTGCACTCAAACGTATTGTTATCTACAGAAAAATATTTTTTCAATAATTTATTTGAGTAATTTGTACTTTCACAAAATTTTTGGCGGTCCAGTTTTTTACTATTCGCGGTCTAGCATATCACAACTCCACCAAATTCACTTTTTTTATATATTGTTTAAATGACAATTACATCATGGTTAGATGCCGAAAAATAATAAAACGAAAAATGTATGGTTATTCTTTACTTACCTATAGAAATTAATTGACAAGTGCTTACTCAATTTTGTTATTTTTGTTTGTAGGAGATAAGCAAGACATGTACGACGCTGAGTCCGGCGGTCACTATTTGCATCCTAGTCTATTGTCAGCCACCCAACAACCGGTAGGTGTCACAAGCATAATCGCACTTACGTTTAACAGAGACTTTTTTCTTGTAGTAAGTGTAAACGATTTACGTTTTCTATACATTGTAATCATGTACACCGAAAGGGGTTTGAATAAATACTTTATATTAGATTGATTATTTTTAATTGTTGTGAACTATTAATAATGTCTTTTTTGTTTACAGGTTCTTATAGTGTGTTGCGTCCATGTTTGCATTTTGTTGATTTACAGACTTCTGGTGTGCAGAAAAGTGCTTCATTTAGCCAATTGTACAGAGACGATGTGCTGGCAGTTGTTTTAGACACTAATTTTTGATTTACTGTCAAAATTAAAAATTTCTGTACACTTATGAGATATCAGTTCTGAAAAAACTGTTAGCCAGGTTCTTTGTTTTTCGAACATTATATTGGTCCCTTTTTTCTTTGGCCAAAAGATTTCCTAAAAATTGCACATAGGTTGACTCCTCGTGCTTTTTATTAATTCTGGAATCCAGAAGATATTTGGAGAAGAAACCATCCAGAAAAGGAAGAATAAGCCAGCATATTTTGAGCCTCTTTATAAAATAAGAGAGTTTCGGATATATCATTTTTTTGATATTTTTAATAGAAATAATTTCTTTTGTGTTTAACATGAAATGAATTGGGGGATACGTTTATTAAAATTTACCATTTATTTTTGTAGGCATACTTTTTATATTTACATATTTTTGTTAATGAATTGTTGAATCAGAAGCGGGATTTCGATTTTTTTCAAATACAAATTGTCTAGTGTTGTCAATACATTTCATTAATTCATTTTAAGATAATTATAAACCTATATTTTATAAAACAATGGAACATTTTTTAAGTTTTGCAATACATTTTTATCAAGTTAATATGTAAAGATTCTTGATTTCTATTTTATACCAAGTTTATTTAAAAGATTAGGTTTGTATACTCTTATTTGGAGAAAAATTTGCTTGATGCTTGTCAAAGCATCAACTCTATTCTTAGCTCTGCGTTCAGAGCTAGACAATCATCAGTTGATTTTCAAAGACGTATGTGGCTCGTTGATGTGGCCGCGGACCCTTACAGATCACAAATAATTTCGATTCATTGTCAAACAGGAACCGCCCACAACCATAGCGATACCTCAAGTACCGTACAAGCCGTCTGCCAACTGCACGTACTCTCAGCTGGTGAGCAGAATCCAAGGCAATCAGTGTGACCAAGTGCAGGATGCGGAGAAGACGGCAGGTCCTGCGACAAACTTCGCTCAGATGACGTACGAGCAGCAGCAGTACTACCAGTACTACTACGCACAGCAGTACTATGAGTACTATAAGCAGATGGCACTGTTCCAGCAAGGGCACGGAGGAAATCCAGGTGGGTTGTGAGGTGTTTTTATCTATTTCCATTTTAGTACAGTCATTGAAGCTTTTCACCTCCGAATTCTTTGAAACTGAACCGATCGACTTGAAATTTGGCAGATAGTTAGAGAAAAGGTCAATGAACATTAGTGACATAGCGCCAATTGACGCTTCCACCCTGTTGGGGGTTGACACCCCTTCTCGGGGGTGGAAATTTTTTTTCAGAAAAAAGCTGGAAATCAATAGAGCAAAAAATATTCAATAGATGTTAGTTATTCATGATTGAAAACTTGTAATTTTGATTGAAAAAAAAAACACTCAAAATATTTTTCGCGAATAACTCAAAAACTACACAATTTCGCTTTTTTTTATTCCTATAGCATAAAAAGAAAGGAGATATCGCCGCTTGAATTATCCATTTTAGTGAAAAAACGACCTGTCTCGAGCCCTTCGATTCTTTCCCTTTAAAAAACGAAGGACTTAAAAGGTTTTTAAATGCAAACGATCTTACAGCTCTTGAAATTATCTTTAAAATGCGTTTTTGTGGGATACTATAGCTTCACAAAATTATCCGAGTTATGGTAAAAAAACCAATGTCATTTTTTCGGAGCAAAATAGGCTTTCTCATTTTTGGAGCAAAATGTTAGGATTCAAGTGCGCGTCAGCGTGTATAAAAGTTTATATAGGTAGATATCTGTGTACATATATTCTTTCATAAACAATATAAGGGAATTTTTATTTTAAATTATTGCACAATTATAGCGTTCCAAGATTTAAAACATAATTTTTTTCCATTTTTTTTAGCACAGGGGTGATTTATAAGGGTTAAAAAGTGTTACGAGATACACATTCTTTCATAAGCAATGAGGGAATTTTTATTTTAAATAATTGCACCGTTAAAGCATTCCAAGCTTTTAAAAAGTAATTTTTTATCATTTTTATCAATACAGAGGTGATTTTTAGGGGTTGAAAGGGAAAAATTCTTTTATTAGCTATAAGGTAACTTTTATTTTAAATAATTGCACAATTTAATCATTCCAAATATTTAAAAAGTAATTTTTTATCATTATTTTTTGCATAGGGCTAGTTTTTAAGGGTTAAATAAAGGGTCGAAAAGATCAAATATATCATAAAACATGTTCGAGAACATGGAACATTAATTAATCTTTGTGCTTGAACAAGATTTTTATCAATAAAATGCTTAAAACTTAAATTTTTTCAATGTTTATCACTTAGGGGTAGTTTTTACCCCTAAAAAACAAAAAGCGTCAATCGGGCTTATGTCACTTTTAAAATTGAGCCTAAGACGAATCTTATTCTAAATTTTCATGTAAATCCATGCAGTTTCAAAGAATTCGGAAGATACAGTTGATTTTCACATTCAATGACTACTATTTATTTATCTTTTTTTATGTTTTTAAGTCAGATTTGGTGACCATGATTTCTGTTAAGTATGCAACCACCGCTTGCCACTAAATTGAGAGAAAAGTATCAAAAATGACTATAGTAGCAAAGCATAAAATATTTAAATTTTTTCTGATGCTAAATAAGTTTATGTGAACGTAGGTTCACAAATTTCGCCTTTGAAATACAGGGTCAATCTTAGTGTACCACAGCATATGTAAACCAGTAATTTCACTTAACTACTAATTTGAGGAATTGATTATAGTTTTATTATTAATATTCATAGGTAGTTTATTCTCTATTTGTTAGTTTTATGTTATAAATAATTAGTGTCCAACCGAAACTAGTTTTTACAACTGGAACTGAATTTCAGTTTCTGTTTTAATTTCAGCCGAAACCTAAAGCGAAACCTTATTTTAAAGTAATTCTTTTGCACATGTTTTAACTTTCTATTCATTTTAGCTGGTAATGGAGTAAAGATAGCTTAAAAATATGCATTATTTAGGAATAATTAGCAGAGCCTTGGATTTTCATAAAACCTTTTGCAATCGCCTTGAAATGGCTTATAGAAAAAAGTTATAGAAATAAACTTATATTTGTACGCTAATTATTATTTAATTGTTTAAACAATAAAAAATGGTTTTTAAAAGATTATTTTAAATAAATCAAAAAATTTCAAACCAATTTTAATCAAATTGATACTATAGGGGTTTTCGAGGTCACTGAATAAGAATATAATGTTAAAAAATAAAAATTCAAAATGGCTGATCCAATATGGCCGACTTTTTTTAAACAGTTTATTAAAAAATAACAATTTTCAAAGCAATTTTAATCAAATTGATGTTATAGGGGTTTTTGAAGTCGCTGAACAAGAATATTATATCATAAAATAAAAATTCAAAATGGCTGATCCAATATGTCCGACTTTTTAAAAAAATTTAGTTAAAAATTACAAATTTCAAAGAAAATTTAGTTAAATTAACATTATAGGGGTTTTTGAGGTATCTGAACAAGAATATTATATCGGAAAATGAAAATTGAAAAAGGCTGATCCAATATGGCCGACTTTTTAAACAATTTATTTAAAAATTACAATTTTATTTGTATTTAACAATGTTAAAGTAAAAAAAATGGACTCTTCCATCTAAAGAATGAACAACACTCTCCATTATGCCGATCGGTCCCGAAGGCCGCACGAAAGCTCACGAACGTAGTTTCGGTTTTGGTCGTAGTTTCAACAGATTTTCTGCTGACACGGAAACTAAACTGAAACTCCAATTTAGCGCTGAAACTTACCGAAACCAAAAATTTGGTCGAACACTAAATAATAGAAAGTTTTGGAACCACTTTTAAGTAATGTTTATTTTATTTTTTTTAATTTACTGTTATTATGTAAGTTAACAAAATTCTCAAATAAAGTGTTCTAAGTCTCCAATAATTGATGTAAAAAGATCTGCATCTTCATCCTTTTGTTAAAATCCACTGCATTGTGCTTTTTGAAATATTTAATTGCAATAACCGACGGTGCACTGAGGTTACGGAAATTTTTATCACACTCACCGTAGCAATATTTTTGGCTAAACAGCTAGTACGAGGCCGGCCTGTTTTTTTTATTGTCTGCCAAAAAACCTGTTTGTTCTAATTTGGCAACTAATCTTTTCACAGTTGTTTCATTCTGGAAGTTCCTTCTATTGAAAATTTCACAAAATTTGCGCACAGTCTCAGCTACATACTCTCCGTACTTGTAATGAATTTTCAGAATCTTCTGAATCTTTCTTGAAAACCATAGTTTTTTAAAATCTGATAAGAGTAAAAAAAATTTAAATTAAATTCTGCTGTGAATTAATATTTCTATTTTTCAATTCAGTTAATGAAAAAAAGTTCGGTACAATTTTAGGGGTGAGTCATCCCCAATGAACACCTTATAGTGCTTCAATTAACTTTAAATCATAGTCAAAGAAGACCAATAATAAACCTAAATCATGTACCAAATTTGGTTCTTCTGTACACACTGTATATCCAGTACATTGAATAAATATAAATGTATCAGCACTTTAAAATAAAAATTTAACATGGTTATAAAAGCAACTCAGAACTTTGGATAAATTAGAAAGTCAGCCTAAACTGCAATAGAAAATAATTTAGTAAAAACTTTGCATTATGTTATTTTAAGTTCATCATATTTTTTTCTATTTTAAATGGCTTTTAAGATAATCTACTCAAACTTTATATGTTCAACGCTTGATTTGTCTAAACATGTTACGGTTAGACAAAATGGAGCACTATACAAAGGACGAGCGAGTGAAGATTGTGAAAATTAATTACAAGTAAGGAGAGTGTGTAGTTGAGACTCTGCGCAAATTACTATGAAAAGATTAGTTGTTAAATTTGAACAAACGGGTTCGGTTGCAGACAATAAAAAAAACAGCCAGCCTCGTACTGGCTATTCAACCAAAAATATTGCAATGAGTGATAGGGTGGCGGAAATTCCCATAACCTTAGTGCGCCATCGGTCAAGGCAATTAAACATTTCAAAAAGCACAATGCAGTGAATTTTAACAAAAAATTTGTGTCTGTCTCCAGTCAAGATTCAGTTAATCCAAGAATTAAAACCAGACGACCATTTAATATGGTGTTTCTTTTGGGACACCCTCTAGTAACTAAATTAGTAACAATTAATAGTATAGTGGAATTTCTAACCAAATGAATTGTGAAAAGGACAAAACTAATTCTATTTTTTTCTTAAACTTATTTTGTCAGAAATCCTACTATAGTATTTATCAACCATCTATCAGAAAATGAGTAAAATAGACGTGAACCACTAAAAAAAAAATAAAGCTGTATCACTCTGCATCTCAAAAATGAGACTTTTGCAGACATTCAGTTATGAATTTCTTTTTTTTAGTCTGAAAATTGCCTTTACTTCTTTTTTCCTTTTTTTTAACAACATAATTTCTCATCATATAATTTTTATGAAACAAAGAAATTTTCATTCTAGGTCAATTCGTCCCCCCTGCTGATTTCCAAAACCTGGACCCCAACCTGCAAAACTACATACAGCAGATTGCCTACAGCCAGTACTTGCACCACCAACAACAGCAACAGTCGGAAAATTCTTACGCACAAATTGTCTCCAATGTCAACAAAGAAGCGCATAACCCTTACGCCGCCAACGTACCCCAACTACCTCAGAACATACCTCAGAAAGAAGAAGTGGAACTTCCCAAGAATTCCCCAAACGTTGTAGCGAAAGATGAAAATGTCACAAAAGAAGTGACACCCAAAGCAGAAGTGGTCATAAAGAAACCGCTGCTGTCTTTAGCCGCATACGGTTCAGGCACTGACAGTGAATCCGAAGACAGTACGGAAGAAGAAGAAGAACAGAAGGAGAAGAAGGAAGTGTACAAGGTGCCTGCCGGCGATATACAAGTGATCATCGATAAAATGGCGCTCTACGTTTCTAAAAATGGCGAGCAGTTTGAGACGTTGGTTAAAGCGAGAGGCGATCCGCGATTTCACTTTTTAAACGATGGTCACGAGTATCACAAGTATTACAAAGAAAAAATTAGGGAGCTTAGGGGCACAACTGAAAAGGAAGATGTGGCTGAAAAGAAAGAAATCAAAGAAGTGAAACCTCCCAAAAAAGAGAAAAAGGTTATAGGTAAGTGTCATATATATATACTTGTTAGTTAGTGTTTTATTTGTTTAATCGTTCTTTTAGCACCTGTTTGCTTCTCAATAAAAAAAGCCAAAGACGAACAACCGAAAGAAATAAAGAGCGCTCTTCCGGTGGAAGAAAGTGATGAGGAAGAAACGGATCCCATCGCGCCACCCGCTCCTCATATCTCCCCCATTTCTACCCCTGCAGTTACAGCAACCATTTGTATTGACGAAAACAGTAAAAGCCCACGAGAAGTCACTGACCTCACAAATAAAGAAGAGAAAGAACCGGAAGCTAAAGGGAGTTCCACCAAAGAAAACAAAAAAAATGGCATATTAGACGTCGACGATCCGATATTGGAAATGATAGAATTGACGTCGGGAGAAGCGGTGGAAGATAAGAAAGACGCCAAAAGAGGTAAGGCTATAATTTTTAAAACTTGATTGCTATTTTTAATGGCTAATTTACGGCTGTATACAAGGTATTCTAAATAAGGGTATCCATTTATAAAACTTTTTTTTTTAATTGGTGATAAGGGAAATATATATCTAAGCGGGTATGGTGAATATGTAAAAAGTCTTTTGATGNATACAATCCTGACTTTCTATACCAAAAGTGGGGGATTTACGTCATTCAAGGTCCCTGAAAACAGACATCAGTGATCAAAGGTGCCGACAACGAGATATAATTCTAGTTGTTTTATCTTCTGTGCCCTAGATATCTAGTTCAGGAGATAATAATGGTGTACACCTTAGAAGTGATCATCCTGTAGACGTTCACAGAGAGATGCAGATGGCAATTGCATACCTGACTAGTGAGTAGTAGACGCCACTATAAATTTGTGACGTTTACGTCAATTAAGGAGGTTCGATAGATCTCTTGCTGGGCAGGCGGTGCGGGAGCGAAGCCTATGCTTATACAGGGTTCCCCATATTAGACTATGCAGTTTAAAAGTCGAATAAAAACTTTCTGATCAAAGTAAATTAACTTTTTAATGGACTAATATGTAGCTAATTTTGTGGGATTTATAACTAAAATAAATAATAAGTCAATTTTTAAAGATCATGTCTTCCAAATGCCCTCCTTCGACTTCAATGCAATTTTGAATTCAAAGTTCAAAATTTTGCATCACTCGACGCATCAAATCTCCATTTGTTTCTGCAATTTTATTTTGAATCTGCTCTTTCAACTCCAGAATTGTTGCTGGACGACTTGCATAAACTTTTTGCTTCAGGTATCCACAGAGAAAAAAATCTGGGGCCGTTAAATTGGGAGATCTCGGGGGCCAATTCAAATTTCCAAATCGGGAAATTATACGGCCATCAAAAAAATCTCGCAAAATCCTCATAGTGTTTCTGGCTGTGTGAGCTGTAGCTCCATCTTGTTGAAATAATATGGCACCATTTAGTAGTCCTCGTCTAGTTAGTTCGGGGATAAGAAACGTTTGCAACATGTTTATGTAGCGCTCGGAATTAACTGTAACAGGACGGTTATTTTCAGCCTCAAAAAAATAAGGACAGATAATTCCAAATGAAGCTACACCACACCACACAACGACTTTTAGACTGTGGAGGTTTTTGGTAAACAGTTTGTGAGGATTTTCTGCTCCCCAGTACCTAAAGTTTTGCTTGTTAACAACTCCGTCCAAATGAAAATTTGCTTCGTCNTTATAATTTTTCTATATAATCACCTTCCTGTGAAACACATTTTTCCCACCTGATTGGAAGCTTTTTGATTCCATCACTGTAGAAAGAAGGATGGCAGGTCGTTAGCCAGTTGCCCACGAACGCCTCTACCTCTGCATCACCAGCGAAACGCTGCACTTCCAAAGCCTCTTTCATTGGCCCGAACATGTGATAATCCCACGGGGACAGATCCGGACTGTAGGGTGGGTGTTCGAGAGTTTTCCAGAACATTTCTAAAATTTTTGGTTTGCCGTATGGAGGCGAGCATTATCGTGGAGCAAAATGACTTCCCTCGTGGGTTGGCGGCATATTTTACTTCGATAAGCGGCCCTAACCTGATCAAGAAGTATGCAGTAGTAACCAGATTAATTGTTCTCTGCTCGTGTAGAAAATTCAATGGAAGGATTCCTTTTGAATCCCAAAAAAGTGTAACGAGAACTTTACCAGCTGTCAAGCGCGTTTTGACCTTGACTGGAGCGGTCCCTCCTTTTTTCGCCATTGTATGCTCGTTTATTTCTAGGACTGTAAGGTGACGTACATTTTGATTTTTGAAGTCTTTTTTTCAAAGTTCCAGAAGATGGCCAGATTTCAGCCGATCTTCATACATTTTTTTCTAAAATACTCGTAAAGATTTGTACTTTCATGTCCAAGGGTCATATTGATTGAGTTTATAGGGGTTAGGTTGCCAAATTTCAATTTTTTAGTATTTTCAAAGAATATAGAAAATTAGATAAAAAATAAAAAAAATCTTAGAAATCAGTCGATATGACCCAAATCAAATTTATGACATCTCAGAACTTTAAGTACAGTTTCTTCCCCATTGCATTACTTTTACTCTTACCCTTAATATTCAACGTTTACTTTCTGGAATAAACCGTCAACTTAACCTCTTAAAACGCAATCAATATGACCCAAATCAAACGTATACCATCTCAGATCTTCAGTAAGCATATCTTCCCCTCAAAAAATTACCCCTACTGCTCTCTCACCCTTAATATTCAACATTTTATTCTCTGAAAATACAAAGAAAAATTGAAATTTGGCAACCTAACCTCTCAAAACTCAATCGATATGACCCAAATCAAATTTATAGCACTTGGGCATGAAAGTATAAGTCTTTACGAGTATTTTAGAAAAAAATGTATGAAGATCGGCTGAAATCTGGCCATCTTCTGGAATTTTGAAGAAAAGAAACCTTCCAAAATCCCAGTGTGCGACGGTCGTTCTCCAGAAGGTCACGAACTGCTTGAATGTGTCCATCAGTTAAGCTGGTTCTGGGCCGCCGATCGTGGGTTTCATTTTCAACCCTCTCTCGACCTTCAGAGAAGGCTGTGCTAAAAAATACATGAGGTTGTGAAAGAGTGTTTTCACCGAACTGCTGTCGCAATCTGCAAAATTTCAACAGGGCGGACCCCCTCCCGTGTCGATAATATTGCACTACAGATGGGTGTACTTCCGTCTCGCTCATCTTTGCCACTACTTGGCTAATGGTCTTAGGGCCGTGTCGACTGTGATCCCCTACTCGTCCTATCCCTACCAACATTCCCTGTCAGTACCTGAGCCGATAGGTGCCATTTCAAGATGTCCACCTCGACATTCTCGATTATATTTGAATCACCCTCGTATTAGGTTGTAGAGAAAAACTTTCACTTCAAATGCAGATATCTCATTTCAAATGAAATTTTATTAATTGAAATAAAATCCACTAGAATGCCGATGCCGATGAGAAACAAATTTATTTATTCTGGTTTATAAAATTCTGGAGCTCTGCAAATGACGAAGTCATTGAAGGCAATTTTGATATTGTTTTGGTTGGTGTAGCATTTCTCGCGCAAGAAACTATCGAGATGCTTGAAAAGGTCAGATGGAGAGATGTCTGGCAAGTATGGTGAATGATGCAGGTTCCATAGTCCAGCTTGTTCAACTTCTGTAGGGTCCGTTGTGCAACATACGAACCAACGTCATGTAAAAAGATTGGTCTTTTTCTGTTGACTGATAGCGGGCACGTACGCTGAAATTTCTGTGCATTTAGCTGATTTACTAACAGCACCTCTCTGCCCTGATAATTCGCTCAGATTCAGGAAGGTGTGATGGATAAGACCAGCAGCAAACTACCAAATAGTCTCCATGACCTTCTTTTGGTGCAAATTCGGCTTTGAAAAGTGCTGTGGAGCCTGATCGCGGTCCAAGCATTGAGCTGAACGTTACCAGTTGACATAGAGGATCAGATTTTTTGTAGCATGTCCAGTTGAGAAATGGGTAATTTTTATTGTGCAAATGAAGTGAAGATGCGTCCTCAAATAATGATTTTTCGGATTTTTTCGGAACCCAATCGTTGAGCTTTTTTGACTTCACAATATCTCGCAGGTAGTTGGAAACGGTTATGCCTGATACGCCTAGTTCAGAAGTAAGCTTCTGAACAAGTGTACACAGATCCGTTTCAACTAACGCCTTAGCTGAATATACAGGGTGTAACCTAAGTACGTTAAAATATTTAAATGGGATATTCCTGAGTTCATTTAAAAAAAAAGGATATATAAACCTTTGTTCGGAAATGGTTCATTTCTGAGATACAGGGTGTTGAAATTAGAATTTTATTTTCGATTTTCTTAACCCTTTCGCTGCGCAATACGTCTGAACATAGCTACCGCGCCGTGCGCGATTGTTTATCGCGTGCGAATATATACGTCTGGAGCAGTTAGACCACTTATAGTTTTACATTATGTTGTGTTAAATTACGATTTACGATAAATTTTACGATTTTATTTTGAATAAAATACAGTATATGTATTAAATAGAAACTGAAAGAAACATGAACAATCTTGGTATTATTACCAGTACCTCTTTCCATAAAAATATTTGTCACAATCGGTATAAGCTCGCCCGCAAAAATTCGCCTTACCAATTGCAATAACCGAGTCACTATGCGCACGGTTGCGAATATATACGGTTTGAGCAGCCTGATCCAATTTAACTATTCATGTGAATTTATCCGTCTGGAGCAGTTTGAGCCTTATAAATTTTTAGCGAATATATACATCTGGAGCAGTGAAAGGATTAAATAAGTTTTACGAAAGATTTTTTTGCACAAAATTTGGTAACCGGAGGTGAGAAATCATAATTTGGTATTAATATTTGTGCAGCACTTAAAGGGCGTTACGTAAACTGTCATTATTAATTTTAATTTGCTGTAACTTTTTTGACAGAAGACTTCTGCGATTTTTTATGAGTAAACCATATTCCTACACCTTTTTTAAGCAAATTTGCAAATTTCCTTTAGGCGTTAAATGAAGTTGTTGAGAATTTATTTTATTTTCCTGATATTTTCCAATTGGTACGGGATTCTTTGGTGAGGAGGGCAGAAGTTTGTATTAATGTCGAGGGTAGTCACTTTCAGCAGCTGTTGTAATAATGATTTTGTTTAATTTTAATTTCCGAACAAAGGCTTATATAAACTTTTTTTCTTAGAATTAACTTAGGAATACCCCACTTAAATATTTTAACATACTTAGGTTACACCCTGTATGGTTGATGTTACAAGCAATTTCCATGGTTTTATGTCCCATCTTGAACTGATATAAGAAAATCGCACAGATTTATTTATTTTCCGTCTTTTCTTTGCCTGAAAAATTGATAAAAATTATTTTTAAATAAAAAATAGAACTATTATTATAACAAGATAGAGCAAAAAAAACAAGCTTCAAACTGATTTATGAATTTCACAACTGCGACAAAAAACTTTAAATGAAGTTAAAATTTCATCATCAAAAATTAAACTAAAATAAAATAACATAAATGAATGTATTAACCATACTTTAATCTTTTTTTTATAGCTGAAGACAAAATAAAGGATAAACTAGCCGCAGCGGCCAGAGAGAGACTAGCGTCCGCTTCCAGGGACCGAGCCTTACAGTTAGAAAGGAAAAAGAAAGCCGCCGCATTCCTTAAACTCAAATCTGCCGAGACGAATGCTCAAGGCAGTGAGACGACCGCATCAGAAAAGTCATCACCCAGTAAGCCTTCGAGTAGAAGGAGTTCGGTGGAAATCATAGAAATACTGAGTTCTCCGCCGAAAAGGTCCCGAGACAGGAGCAGGTCGAGAGATCGGGAAAAACGGAAAGACAAGGAGATGAAGGAGAGAAGGAGGGAAGAACGTCAGAGGAAGACGAAGGAGAGGGAGAGAAGTAGGGAGAAGAAGAGGAGTAAATCGCCTTGGAGGGAGAGCATGGAAGAGGAAACGGAGAATAAGAGGCGGAAGGAGGACGACAAGAAGGAGAAGAAGAAGAAGTCACACAAAAGGTTAGTTCTGTGTATTTTTATAATAATCCTATATACATTTGCAATATTTTTGTGATTTTGTTGTAAATGGTATTGTGGATGGTTGTCAACCATCCTGAATTTTGGGGACATCCCCCATTTGCTCTAATTTTTCGTCAATTGTCCTGCATCCTGCAAAGACATTTTTGCAGGCTGCCAAATGCTCTTAATTTCACATAGTATATTTTTCCAAAATATATAAGATTTGTACAATTCGACAATCACATCTTGACTAAAATCTCAACTCTGCATAGATGGCGTTTGCGCATAAAAAAGTAGATGTAAATAATAAAAAAATTCAAATTGTAATATGCATGTAGAATCTTTGTTTTCTCATTTATTTATAATTGCTGTTACAAATTTGCTTCTCATTATAGGAATCTCGGTAACGGTAAGAGATACGAACTAGCTTAAATGGAGGCAAAGTTGCATAATCAGGGATCCAACATTATGCCTCTAAAAAATCTAGGCTATGATTAGTTTTAGAAATATTTGAAAAAAATCGAAATTTTGGAAATCTGTCATTGTTTCATTTCAGCCTTATTTGAGGTGATATGGAAAAAAGAACATTTTCTCGTAGCAACTTTTTGCCCTGTATCGAATGGCATAATCAATTTTTATATGTAACGTTTCGTCTCTTGAAGGCCATGATCAACTTAATTTTTTTAAATATGACCATGGAAATTTTATTACATTTTTTGCAAGCCTTTATGACTCCCAATACTGTACTGCCTCAGTAGTCCAAGAGAATTAAGCTCAAAACCTTCGAGATATGGCTGTTGCTTGACGTAGATTAGATATTAGTAAAAATCGGTTGAAAATAATATAAACAATGAAAATATAAGGTTGCGCCAAGAAAAAAAGTTGTGCTATTTGCAGAAAAAATTAAAAACTGCAAAAATACTCAAAAATCACGTGTTTTTCCTAACATTTTCCAATATAACTTCTTAAATATGCAGTTTACAGAAAAAACTATTACTGCTGAAATTGTTTGTTATGAAATTTGCTATAAGACACAATTGTTTTGAGACCTGCGTATTCAATATTTTTGTTGCTAGAAAGCCAAAACAGCGTAAGAAAGTGATGAAAATCGAGGTAATTTTGAAGCGTTCAACTGATAGGTAAGAAATTGTCCAATTCTACTATAAATGTACATGTAAGTACTTTAAAGGATTACAAAACGAAATTCCAAAACCCGATCGAAATCGGTCTGATAGTTTTGGTATGAGACAATTTGTTACTAAATTTCAGCGCGAAATGTCGTTATTTTTTTGCGTCAGTGCTGGGGTTAAAGTTAGGCATTTTAATTGGCGCTGATTTTTTTACACATACTTGGACTCTTTAACTATCATATAGAATCGTTATAATATTAATTTTCTTTTTTTTAATAATTTTTGGAGCGATTTTAAAAATTCGAAAAATTTTAACTTTATAAACAAATACTTTCGTGAAGCCGTTTTGCGGGTTGGAATATATACCAAAGTACTAAAAAATAGTTCTCGGAAAGACGCTTAACTTGAAAAAAAGAACGTTCAAATCGGTCACATAAGTTCCGAGATATCAAGTGTCAAAGTCAACAAGCGTTAGCTGCAAAACTATGCATAATGTAACAACAACAAAAATTGAATTTGGTAGGTTTTTTAAGAACTTTTCGTATGTGCTTTTATAAATATTATCGCACGTGTGCTTTTTATATGAAAATTCAATGAATATCGCCAAACCGACCATTTGAGCCGCAAA